ATACTTGTAGACTAGGTAAACCAAGGAAAGATTTGTTTGGTTTTTGTCATCGCTCTTTGGGATTTGGTTTTTAACTGGCGAGGAAGGAGAACAGGTGTAATGAAAATCATGTAGTGTGTGGTCTAGTGAGCTTTCAGGGAAGTGTTTGAATGAGCACTTAGAGACAAGAAGAGATGCTTGCTAAAACAGCCACTTGTGTGGAACAAGAGGAATGGAGTGAACAGTCAATTAACCTGCTAATTTGAAGAACTGCTGTTCTTTAATCCTCAGATCCAAACCTACTAAATCACAATATTCTGTGCACCTACAGAAGGTCAATCAAACTTGCATATTAGCTTATGATACAAGCAGGCTGCTAGAGTATTACTGTAGGTGGTTCCTACAGTGTGTTCAGATTATGAGAAGACTTCAGGAATAAAAGTGCACCCTCTGTGCTAACCATTTATCACATCATTATTTATGACGACAGTCAGTAGGGCCTTAATAGCATTTCCAAATTTTGTGTTTTATGTCATTGTTTACTCTGAGTCTGATACAACTCAGTATAAAAGTAAAAGTAGTATTGTTGGGGTTTGATTTGACCACTGCCTCTCTGGGCAGTCACTGCCCATTCTCCACCAAAAATGTCATGGTTTTGCCCTGGTCAGTTTGCTTTCACACTCCTCACACAATTGCTATTATTTGAGAGAAGGTTTATGGAGACTAAAGAGACAGGATTTGAGGAAAATAGTATGAACATTTATTATTAGCAAAATCAAAATAAAAGCCACTAAAGAACTACATCTACAATAATTCTACTTAAGTAAAAGTGCTAAGTATTTACAGAAATACTCCTCCCCCCTTTTATATCAGTCCAAGGAGGAGAAGCAGTCCTTTTCTCCATTCTTTGAGTTCCAACTCTCTCTCTCCAGTAACTCTGCAGCACCCTCGTCACGGCTGGAACTCTTTTTCCTTCTCTGTGTCGACCTCCAGGGCTGGGCCTACCCTCATCCTGGGCTAAGACCGGAGGCTGGGGGGTTACCCAGGCCTTGAAGGTTTTTCCTTCCGTAGGCTTGCAAGGGGACACTTGCCTACTATGGATCTACGGAGTTACAGGGGATAATGGCTTATAAGTCCACCCGTGTTCCCTATGGAGGTCCTTTCCCATGGGAGAACAGTCCTTGATAGACTTCTTGGCATGGGTCTAGCATGGATTCCTTACTTGAATCCCCACATCTTACCCGAGCCGTTCTTTGCTCCGGCGTAAGGTTCTTTCTCAAGGTTACAAATTTTCAACAGCAGCACGGATCTCACACACACACGGATCCCGACATCTCACCCAAGCCGTTCTTGCTCCAGTGTGAGGTTCTCTCAGGGTCACAAATTCTTTAACAGGACTCTGCTTCATTTCAGATCTCTCTCATGAAGTCTCGATTCTCTGGTACATTCACAAGCTCCTCTGTGAGCCGCATGGGGGTCTTCTCACCCCAACAATCTTCTACAGGTAGCAGGGATGTTTTTCAGTCTTTTCCCTGCTGAAGGGAGAGAGCGAAAGGGGGAAGTAACAGCCCCCCCCTTCTAACTTCTCTCTCCTGCTGCAGCTCTGGCCTTGGAAGTCTCTTATCTCTTCACCGGAATTCTTTTGTAGCAGTTCTTCGTCCAAGCAATCAGTCCTCTGAAGTTTTTTCTTTACTCTCTTACAAGAGAGAAGAGGAGTTTCAGTACTACACCTGCCCCCTGGCCCAAGCCGGGGGAGGAGGGGCCCTGGCCCTGCTCGGGCCCGCTGCTCTTCTACGTGGCTGCTGCCCCTAATTTCAACTGCACCACAAGCCTTCTCTTCCGTTTTCTTAAATATGTAATTAGCAAAGGCGTTACTGAGAGTTTTAATTGACTTCTTATCCAGAAATCCATCTGGACAAAACCGCTCGCAGCCCCAGGGGCTGACCGACTGGGCAAAACCACGACAAGTATCCTTGATTATTTTTCACGACATTGAACTTCACCAGTGGACAAATAATATTTTGTATATATAATATATATAGATATGTTTCCTGGAGTTAGAATACCTTCAAGGTATGAATCTTTTTTGAGGGGGAGTTGGTTTCTTTTTTTCTTCAGTGTTTTGGGGTTTTTTTTAAGAGCAAACGAATTGTCCTCCTGAGTGGTCTGTCTAGCCCAATAGTCTGTTTCCTAAAGTGGCAGTGGAAATGCCCATGAATTTGGTCACTGTCTGCTGTTTGTTCTCCTCAGTCATTGAATCAGAGATGTTGGAGGATCCCTGCCTATTTGCTTTTTGTGTCCATTTTTGGACCTGCTGAACATAAGCATGTCTTGTTTAGGCTGTTAATACTTTCTGCCTCCATGACATCTTGTGCCAGTAAGTTCCAGAAGTTAGGTGAGAGGGGAAAAAAAGTAGTTGTGGTTTGGTTTTGTTTGGTTTTTTAAGGGATGCCTTGTTACTTTCATCCTCATCTTTTTAGTCATTGCGGGAATTAACAAGTAACAGTTCTGCCCTGACCACTTGTTGCATCTGTTGATCGCTGAAGTGAAGTGTGTAATCATGCAGGTGGAGAGTAGTCCCTGCAAAGTGCTGGTTTTAATTGTTTCAAGACGTTTGGACTGTCACAGGCTTTAGAATGGCTGTGGTTTGTTGACCATGCTTTACTTACTGAAGTTTATGTTGTTAAACTTTTCTTCTTTGAAGGAGAAAATGTGGTTTTTAAAGTTTTTGAAAAAGGATTGATTGATCCTTATATTGACATCTTGTGGAATAATTATAGTGTACTTGAAGACATGAGTATAAAATGTGCTAATTGTCTAAATGTTAATGCATATGTTAAATATTGCATGTGTGCCTAAGATTTACTCTGAATTAACTCTGGAATCCAGGTAACCATTACTCAGCTTAAGCTAATTTCTGCTGCAAAAAGCAAGTCAGTATTAGTTTTGTCCTGTCATCTATGCAGATACTAATTGATGAATATCTTTTATATATCAAATTGTGCACTACTTCTTTGTTTTTCCTTCTGTTCATCAGCTATTTCCTCGAAGGTGTACGTGGTTATATGTCATGAACAACTGTTTGTTATCAATATCTGGTAAGTTACTGTGCTATCTCTGAATGGTAGTGCTGGTAAACATTTGGTTTTGTATTTGAAGTGTGGTTTGTTTTCTAATTTCCAGGTAAAGCTTCTCAGCTTTATTCCCATAATCTGCCAGGACTTTTTGATTATGCAAGGCAAATGCAAAAGTTACCTGTTGCTATTCCAGCACATAAACTCCCTGACCGAATACTTCCCAGGTAAGTACCCCTCATCGGATATATCAGAATATCTTAATTGTGAGAGTTCAGGATATGCTAGTGAAACTTTGGGAATACCAAATAATGTGGAGCTCTGTTTACAAGTTGCACTCTTTAATCAGAGGGTTAATCCCTACGTTTACAGAAAAAAGGTGTGAATATACTTTTATTAGGCTTTTGGTACATCTTACCTTCTTGTCATGTAGCCTCTTGTTTCTGGGCATAGCTCTTTTCAGGTGTAGTCTAGTATGGTAAATCCTGCTTGTTCTTGGTGCTAAACAAAATCTGTGGTCAATATTGTACCTGTGATATTTCAGGCATTTAGAAACGATGATCTTACATTAGGTACTCTTGGCAATATCTTTTGATTCCATTTTAAAAAGTGTGAGGATGTTTAATGCAGAGGGAATGGGCTCACGGGTTATTTTGAAAGCTGGAAAGAGTAGAAATGGAGCACAGATTTAACATCCATCATTGGCTGGTCATTTTTCACAGGCCAATGTAGAAGATACTTTTGCTCTAGGTACCTACAGTATGTTGTGCATGCAGTCCCTCCTCTCCAACTGTATTTACTAACAAGTGCATACAAAATTCCAGAAACTGGGTACTAAACTCCAGTTTAGGAGTGATATTCTCCAGTTTAGTGCTCCCGCCCCCTCCCCTGCAGTGGGATGGAGAGGAGAATTGGAGGTACAGAAGGTAAAGATCATGGATCGAGACAAGAACAATTTACTGGAAACAGCAATGAAATAAGAACAGCAACAGCATTAATGACAGAGGGTACACAGATACAATACCCAGAAGGCATCTTTTTTTCCCTGGAAGAGACTCCCTTTCCCGTGCCCCCAGCAATGACCTGAGGTGGTATAGAATAATCTCTGTGTCCTAGCCATGCCCCTCCTGGCTACTGCCAAAACTGAACTTGTCCTGGCTGGAACTAGGACACTGCCAAGCAAGCCTTGGTAGTCCATTCAGATCCCAAGAGGAGGAGGTGGTAGCACTAATCTAGTTTGCACAAAAATCTTTGGTTCTTAAAGTGCATAGTGAGACACTGTTTTTTCTAATGTAATAGGATTTTTGTTAGGAAATTGTATTATAGAAAACTTGATTCGCTGCTGCCTTTGGTTCTGTTAACAGCCTATTAACACTTAATTCTTAGATTCAGGGAAGGCTTCTTGTTCAGTTATCTGCAAATGGTGCAGTGCCTGTCTGAAAATTATGTTCTTTCTAGAGGGTAAATTCTAAATAACTAAGAGATTATTTGTGCTTTGAGTTGTTGTCTTCTATGTACCTGCACCACTGTTCTGCACCTCTCTCTTCTAAATTTCACTTTTGGTTGGGTGTCTGTGGTTTGGAGACTGAATCAGCAGTGGACTAATAATTGTAATTGTCATAAGGATCATGCTAGGACAAGTTTCTACTACATTCAGCCTGAAATGACACCTCACCTGAGTTGCAGAGGGTTCAGAAAATTTCTTGTCCAGTCATGTTACTTCCTAAGAAAAATGCAGCACAACCTGAATGTGCAAATGCCAAGCCAGTCATTCAAAGGCAGGAGAGATTAACTCAGATAATTTGTTTTGCTGTTTTACTTCTTGTGAGGTGTAGTAACATTTAACCAGGCAGAAGAACTTCATCTGAAGTAGGTCTGAAAAAACTTTTTTTGTTTTTTCCTCCCAGACCCCCAAATAAAGTGTATTCTTAAACAAGTTCCTAGATACTGTGATGATGAGTGCTGCGTGAAAAATGTACATAACTTAAAAGCAAAGTTTTCTGTAGAGAAATTGCAAGGCAAAATATAACTTGAAGTAATTTGTGAGGCTTGTATATTCATTTGCAAAATGGTCTAAGCTCAACTTATGTAATTGGTAGGCAAGCATTCAGTAGCAGAAAATATGCCTAAGTCTCCATTCCAGCTTCTTTCACTGGAGTGTTTTTGAGCAGTTCTTTTCAAATCCTTCATGACTTGTTCCCAGCAGAATTTGTGGCCAGTGCTCAGTTTTCATGCTACTGAGACCTGCTGCATTATCAGTCATTTCTGGGCAGCTCCATTTGAGATGCTACACAACTGTTTTCCCAAGTCATAGCTTTGAGTGCAGCCTCTGTTTATCAGTCCACTTATTCCCATCTTTTCCACAGCATCAAATTAGTTATTTTTATGGTCAAGATTACTATGGCTAGTCTCAATACAGCCTGTTGTCTTTCAGTCTACAGACTGTGTAGAAACCCTGATTCCCACTGCCAGCAAATAAAAACTTCCCTGGCTTATCTGATAAATTTCCAAATGTTTTCATGATTTCTCAGGGAGTGTCCCCTGCACATCAGAAAAGATCTTGCAGAACTGCCTTCTAGTCCCCCTTTGTACCTCCTCTCAAAATGCAATGCTGTGCTGCCTTTGAAAATGTATGCAAAATTTAAATATTGGCTTGCAAGGGCTGTGTCCCAGCAAACTATCCAGCACAGCATCATTTCCCACACTCCTTGTGTCCACATGTCTTGTCCTTGAACTACAGTGTCTTAGGACAAGGGTGGACCTTGTGGAGTATCCAGCACAAGATGCAATAAGTTACAGCATTACAAAGAATAATCATCGTGGCAGAACCAATAGACTATCCAGGCACACGTCTAAATACATGTAATTAAATAGCAAGAGGTAGTGGTAAATGACAGTTGATGGCAGTGAGGTCCCTATTCCTCTCCATTCCTCTGCATTCATAATACATTACACATAATCCATCTAACTGCATTCCTAGTACTGCATAACTGCACGTCGTACTGACAGAGGGATCACCATGTATGTTCCAGGCATATTAGTCTGAGAAGAAATATACAAACATGTATTTTGGGGTTTTTAGTGGGGCAAATATTTTTCCATCAGCAACTGTCTAAAAAGCAAATTCACTCGATTGTTTCAGTTGATCAGTAATTTTGTGTTTATCTCTTGTAGGAAGTTTGCGGTATCTACAAAAATTCCTGACACTAAATGGTGTCAAAAGTGTTGTGTTGGTAAGTAAAGGTCTGGAGAATAAGTATGAAGAAACAATACGAATGGTGGCAGTATTAAGATTACTGTGTCAGGTTTAGGATTTGAAGGGAGAAGAGACTTTTGTCATTGGTATGAAACTGTGCATTTGCAGACAGTGAGCTCATTCAGATTAGTCCTTATGTTTAAGCAATTAAAACTTTCCCGTTTCACTTTTTATATTTAAAGACAATTTGCAAGAAATGCAGAGAAGCAGAATGGTGTCAAAATTTAAACCAGGCTTCAGGAAGAACCTGATCTCCATGGGTAGAGCAACTTAAAGAAGTTGTCATCAGGATTAAGCTGTGTGACTTCCTAGCACAAGTTTCAGTTACCAATATTGGATGATAAAAAGCGAGGAGTATTTTCAATTCTTTGAGGACAGTGTTGTCTCTGAAGCATTTATAATGTGTTCAATAATGTGCCAACTTCTGAAGTTTCAAAGTTGCACTGTGTTAAGGGGGAAGATAGATTTAAAAAATAAACAAAGAAAAAACCCCAGGAAAGGTAACTGTAGATGAGCTCTTGTGTCCCAGAAATGTTCTACCTGGTATTCTGTAATCATATGTGTGGTGTGAGGAGTTCTATTCCACAGGATGTTTTCAGAGACTTAGTGGAAAGCGAGTATGTAATTTATCCTGATAATATCTTTTCATATCTCTAGGGTATGGTGGGGTGGGGTGTTAGTGATATGTTTGGGTGTATGTCCAGCCCGAGCTCTAATTCAAGTATCAAAGTCAAGCTGTGAGTGTTAATGGATGCTGAAGGGAACACCCAAAGGGGAGGAGTGACAGGGATCAGAGTATGTGTGAATGCTTACTTTCTGACATGAAAATTAGTTTGGAAGTCCATATGTTTCCGTGTTTCTGTTTATAAAATGAGAAACCTAGTGGTGTGCTGCTCTGTCATCCTGTGACTTCTGTCCTGTCAGGCACAGAGTTTAACAAGGGTGCTGTAGTACTTAACAGTGTGAGGGGAAGTCTTGACATTCAGAGATAGATTAGCCTGATAAGCCTGGAGTCCTTCTTGCATGAGAGGTGTAAGTGATAATCTGTGAAGGCAACAAGGGTGGCTGCAAAAGGCTTGTCCAAAGGGAGAAACAACAGATTCCCCTCTGCACAGCTTACTCGGTGCAGCCTGAGCCTCCATTCCTGCTGGCAACATAAGTCTGCTTTGGGCCTTGGGGAAACAGGAACGTCACAGGAGGAAGATAAAGACAAGTACGTCTGGTCTTCTTTCTGCACCTTATAAGTGTTGGTAATTTCATGTTTTGTGGTTTCTGCTGCTGAGTTCAGCCTTACTAAGAGTCACACCAAGCACTATTTGATGCAGTTTGCAGTCAGTCTGACTTATGTTGAGTGAGAAATTGGATTAATGAAATTAAGCGCTGATGTTTAAGGTGCCAAGGGATTGCTGATGAGTTTCTGTGTCAGGAAGGTAGCATGAGCATATTTGACTTATCTAAACTGTGATGTTAAGTGCATGATGACCCACAGTCAGTTTGCTGCACAGTAAAATTTGATCTTTAGATGTATTTGTAGGAAGTGCAAAATAACACTTGTTTGTCCTAAAGGATATGTTTGTAGTGCTTAAGGAGTGAAATTTTGTCAATATTGTAGAATTGAAGTTGAGAAACTTCAGATTTCACAGTGCCTGGTTTTGCAACTTTGTTCTCTGCCTGTTTTTGAGTTCTGATAAACAATTGAAGAGCAGCACTTCTGCTTTTCTGTTATTCTTCAGTTTCAGCTGAATTTCCTGATGATCTAGAAGTGTTCTTCAGAAATATAGAGCTCCTGGATTTTCTGTACTCGCTCTGATGGTGCTTGAAGGGCAGCTGAGCTGTTCTCAAGTGACAGTGGTTGTTCACTGCCTGCTGAATAACTGTGTCAGAAAAAAAGCCATTCTTTAACAGCTGCTCATGGTGATCTTGAGATAGTTTGGGCAAACCAGCATAGTAGAGCCAAGACACTTCAAATGTGTATACAGTCAACTATTTTTTTGTAACATGGTTGGAAATTGTTTATAACTTGTATGTGCTTAGTACACTAATATTCTGTATCCTTTTTTGACAGTGAGGAATCCCTATACAGGCCACAAGTACCTTTGTGGAGCACTACAGTCTAGCATTGTTTTGTTAGAGTGGGTCGAACCAATGCAAAAATTTATGTTAATCAAGGTAAAAGTACAGTTACTCTTGTGTTCAGTTCTTTTTATCTTGTTAAGGTGACTTGTTAAGAACACAAGTATTAGCCGTTTCTTGATTTATTATTTTCTGTTAAATTATATTTAAAATAGCTATTTAAATGTGTTATATTAACTAACTCAAAATACTTACAAGAATGTTCATGTTTTTATGGTGTAATTCAGTTAGAGAACTGAGCCCTTCTCTCCATGAACATTGCCCTTTAGTTTCACAATAGAAACCTCTGGGTGACAGACTGAGTCATGGCAGTGAAGTGATAAAACTGCTTAACAGTGGTCTTGCTCCCATACCAGGGAGAAGTTAGCCACTTATGTTTTGTGACACTGGAGGTGCTCAGAAGTGCTTTTTATTTCCCCTGTCTATCTGACACTACCTGAAGAGATGGAGCTAGGGTGCACTCATGTTTGTGGAAGGGCAGTTGCTATAACTTGATCAGCCTGGAAAAGAAGGCTTAGAGGCTTATATAGCCAGGGAAAGCAGTGATGAGCACTGTTTTCATCTGTGGGGAGCTGCATAGGGCACGCATGATGAAAGACATGGTATCTTATTTAAACTGAATTGCCATGAGATGCTCTAAACTTCTTAACTCAGGCTTTTTATATTTATCAATTCCTGTTATCTGAAGAAGTAAATATAAATGTTACAAAATGTATGGCATAAAATCTACCATGCAGTTTAAATATCTAATAGCAACTCAGACAACATTTGTTTTCCTTCTAATATCTACTTTTGTTTCTAAATCTAGCACATAGATTTTCCTGTACCTTGTCCACTGAGATTGTTTGAAATGCTGGTAGTCCCCGAGCAGGAATTCCCTTTAGTTTGTGTTGGTGTCAGTAGAGGAAGAGACTTCAACCAGGTGGTGAAGTTTGAGACTGTCAACCCAAATTCTACCTCTTCGTGGTTTACAGAAACAGGTTTGTGTGCTGTTGTAATTGCATTCTGAAATGTTCTTTGCTCTTCTGTTATAGCTGAATCACTAAAAGGTGGGTTTCTCTGAGGAAGCAAATGGTTAAATCATTAAGGTTAAGTGATCATTGTAAGTTCTCTGTTTGAAGGAGTATCTGGTTGTACCTGCTTGTACATGCACTTTTTTGATTGGATTTCTTGAGATTTTTGATATAGCAGAGGATAGAGTTATGGTTTCTTGCATTACCATAAATTACACTGTACTTTATTACCCACTGTGCTGTTCTGTGCTCCACCCTGGCACCATGACCTCTTCATTTAATAGATTTTAGCAGAATTGCATTCTGAGCAGTTTCTTTCAGTATCTCTGTAAGGTGTAGTTTGGCTGTCTTACAGTATGCCACTGTGGTTAGAAGTGGTGTTATCAGCCTCCTGCTGAGACAGAGCATTCTTCTGGTGTTTATGGAAACAAAAGGGATTATGACAACTGGTGGCAGGGAACCAAGTATCTGCCCCATCACCAGTCTGGGCACCATGAGTGAGGAGGCCACTGTCTGAGCAACAGCAGAAATTCTCTTCAAGAAGTATGCTAAGAATTACCTTTGTAGAGTTGAAAGGTTGTCCCTTAAACCTAGATGCAGTAGTGAACCAGCCCTAGTCATAGCCTGCAGGTTTAGAAGCTTTGTTTTTACCAGGCACAGATCCCCTGTCTGTTCATGAGGAATTTATACATGGCCCTGTGTTGACATACACAGGTATGAGTCCAGCTGAGTGTGTACTGCAAAATTTGATAAGAACAGCAGTTTCTACCAGGAAGATACTCACTGACTTTCCTGCTGCTGAAAAGAGCATCAGATTTTGACACAGTTTAAGGCATAGTTGCAAAAAACCAAAGTGAGCAGTGGATGGCCAGTTAATGCACTTAACGACTTCAGACAGTGCATTTTATTTTCAGTCATTCGTGTAGCTGTGTGACTTTTATCCTAGAGTCCATAAAAGTAACATGTTGAAGAGAAATGTCCTAATGTCATTTCTCTCTCAATATTGCCTGCATCAGTGCATAAATAGAGGAATACTAATCCCACTTTTTTTTTTAATGTGGAAAATTTAGCATTGCACTGCGCCTTCCAAAATCGCTTTTTTAATTTCCTTCAATCACTTGTGTGTTCTCGTGTTGTGTCTGTTCTTCTTTTCTCCTATTTCTTTGGCTCCAGTTTAAATCCTTTAGTTGAGTTGGTTTATTTCTGTCCCCTGCTGGCAGAAGAGTGATAATGCAATCAAACAGATTTTTTTTTTATTCTCCTGAATAAGTGTGTACTGTACAGAATCACAGAAGCATTTGGGTTGGAAGGGACCTTAAAGATCATCTGCTTCCAACCCCCCCTGCTGTGGGCAGAGACGCCTTCCACTCTGTCTAGTTGCTCAGAGCTCCATTCAACCTGGCCTCGAGCAATTCCAAGGATGGGGCATCCACACCTCTGTGCAACCTGTTTTATGGTCTCAAATAGTTTCCATCAAATAGTAGTTTTTATTGTTTGACATTTGACATTATTTTGTAAATGTCTGATCAGGATATTTTAAAAAAATTAGCTGGTAGAGACTTGCTGGGGGGTTTCTCCCCGACATCCTTCAACCAGTGCAGTGCATGTTTCCGTAGCGCACTTGTGGTTGCAAAGATGTTTATCCTCCAGTCTTTCTGTTGCACGCTTTCATTGTGGCTGCATCTACCTTTGGTATACCTTCCAAGAAAAACAGGAAAAAAGATATGAAGGGACCCATCCCATGAGCACATTTCTGCCATTGTTGAGGAGTTTTTTGCTTCTCCGCAGAACCACGGATTTTATAATTTAACTGAGAGCTGCTTTTGTATTTTAGGTAACATGCTCTGATTTCTCTCCTCTAATGGATTTAGTGAGTTTCTTTTTTCTATGTGAAAGATGCCTACAGAATCACTGGCAGTAATGTTGAATTAATAAGAGCTGCTCTATGTGTAATTTTAATGTTAACAAACAAATGGACCAAAACCACACTTCTCTTTTGAGTTAAAATGTCCACTTGTGGATCAAATCCCTGTTGGCTGTGATGGAGACTGCTGCAACTGTAACCCAGAAAAGAAGAAAATAACCCTTCCTTTAAGAGTTTTGATAAGAAAATAATCCACTATTTTTGGAAGATCTGGGTATGGAAAGTCTGCAAATAGCAGCAAGAATTAAGTAGTAATATATAAGTCTTTAGCAGAAATAGAAATTAGAAATAAACAGAAGAAAAGTGCAATGAAACAGCACTGTGTAGTCACACTATCACATATCTGCCCTTTCTTGTAACAGCAGTATTAAATTACACCAACAGAGAATGGAGAACAATGTACATGTGAATTTGCTTATGTGACATGGCTCAGAAAAGGCTGGATTAAATCCCTACTTAGTTCCATATTTTAACTTCAGTTTTCCTGTTACAGTCAACATGTTAGATAAGTGGACATGCCTAAGAGAAGAGAAATGTCACTCGTAAGATGAAAATTTTAAGTAGATAAAAACACCAACCCATCTAATCATCTCAGTGTCTAGAATTTGCATTTCAGATTTCATGCTAATTTATGTTATGAACTAACACTGTCATTTTTTTATAGACACTACAGAGACGAGTGTTGTACATGTAACACAGCTGGAGAGAGATACCATTTTGGTGTGTTTGGATTGTAAGTTTTAGTATCAGCTAAATATATAAGTATGCATGAACATGCATACTGTCTTTAAATTAGGTCATATATTGAAGATAATTCTTGGTTAACATATCCTTATTTATTGTCTAGGCTGCATAAAAATAGTGAATCTGCAAGGCAGGTTAAAATCCAGCCGCAAACTGTCATCAGAGCTCACATTTGACTTTCAGATTGAATCAATAGGTAAGTTGGAATTCATTATTAGTTTTGGATATCCATGTAGACTCTAGAGCTGGGCAATCACCAACTGTGTGAAATTTAATGAGAGTAAGTGGTAGATTCCACACCTGGGATGAGGTAATCCTGGTTGTGTGTACAAACTGGCAGATGAGAGGCTGGAGAGCAGCCAGCCCTGTGGAAAGAGGTCTGGGGGTTTGGATTGATGGTGATCTGAAGATGAGTCAGCCAAAAGGGCCAGCCGTGTCCTGGGATGCATCAGGCTCAACATCACTACCTGGTCAAGGGAGGTGATTGTCCCGCTCTGCTCTGTGCTGGTGCAGCCTCACCTCGAGTCCACTGTGCAGTTTTGGGCACCACAATATAGAAATGATGTCATACTATTAGAGTGTGTCCAAAGGAGGGTGACCCAGATGGTGACAGGTTTTGAAGACAAGAGGAGAGCCTGAGGTCACTTGGTTTGTTCAGCCTAGAGAAGAGACAGCTGAGGGGTGATCACATCGCAGTCTGCAGCTTCCTCGGGGGGCAGTGGAGGGGGAGGTACTGGTCTCACCTCTCTGGTGACCAGCAGTAAGACACATGGAAATTACATGAAGCTGCATATGGGGAAGTTCAGATTGGATATTAGGAAAAGGCATTTCACTCAGAGGGTGATCAGTCATCAGAACGGGCTTCCCAGAGAAGTGATCGCAACACTAAGCTTGTCGGAGTTCAAGGAGCATCTGGCAATACTCTTAGTCATATGGTTTAGTTTTAGGTAGTTCTATGAGGAGCAGGGAGTTGGACTCAGTGATCATTATGGGTCCCTTCCAACTCGAGATGTTCTATGATTAATTTGCTTAATGTTACAGTAAATAATTAGGTATGCCAACTGTCTGGTCTTTGGCATTTGAAACACTATCTCAGTTCACTCTGTGTGAGAAGGCCCAGTGAAAGGTTCAGCATGCTATGTAATGTGCTTTCCTAGGAGCACTTTGAATGGAGTAATAATCCTGATTAAGCTAAATATGTTGAGAGTATGATGGAGACCTTCAGCCTCTAAAGGAATACCTTAATACAACCTACATAAATTCTGTGAATCACTCATACCTAACTCATTTTGCATGTGTGTTTGTGCAGTCCATTTTTATAAAGTAGCTCAAAGACGAAATTATATGTCATAGGTTACATAAATTTTGTTTCCTTGGAAAGAATCTGAATGAATTAGGTTTGTGAAACAGAAAGAATAAGTTATTTTGGCAATTCTCCAATGGTTACATACCTAGATTGCATCTCATGCTTTTGAAAGAGTCGAGAGGGCATGTGTGCACAGATGGGGGGTAGCACCAGAAGAGGAGGAACAATGGGAACTAAAATAGTAAGGAGTTGGAGGTACTTTATTTCTGAGGAGAAGCTTTAAAGTTTCAGACCCTTCAAACATAATGTCCCACAGAGAAGAGGAAAAGACACATTTAGGATTTGACATTTAGAACATTTTCTGGTTAGGTAGAAATACTTTTAAACCCTCCTCATTAAACAAATAGTTTATAAATGCAGCTACTTTTGAAGCAGGTTCAGTGATTCCTGTGAGATGTTCTGCAGTCTGTGTGTATGAATGTGATGCAATAAAACATAAATTTACAGATTTCAAAATTGCAGTCATGCTTTTGGCCTTAAAAGCACGAGTTGACGTTATGCCTCAAAACTGATTCCAGTGTTCTTTGTTACCAGTCTGTCTACAAGACAGCGTATTGGCATTCTGGAAACACGGCATGCAAGGAAGGAGTTTTAGATCAAATGAGGTGAGTACTGCATTTTCCTTCAAATTCTGGCCTCCTACGTAAACCAAGAAGAGGATAAATGCATAATGCTGTTGTCTGAAAAAGAGTAAAAACATTTCAGTGACTTCCTAGGTTAGACCTAGAAGTTGGAGTCTCATTCTAAGCTTTTTTCATCAGTATTAGTGGAGCTGTGCAAGAACCACATCACATCTAACATGCAAAGCAGAAACAAGAAACCAGGTCAGGATGCCATAGAAAATACCCAAGCCTAATTCTTGGTACCATTGATCTTCACCTTAAATTGCTTTGAAGACCACTGTCAGTCCCGTAGCCTCTCACATATGGATACCAAAATTTGGGCTTTGCCAGCAGTCTGACTGCTAAGCTGTAACTTTTTGTCACAGCATCACAGGAGTTGCCTGATGTATGTTCCATGTTCTCTTGCCTTACAAATACTTTGAAGATTTTACAGGCCAGGTTTCACAAAAAATGTTTTTCCATTTTTAAGAGAAGACTCTCAGATTGACCTAAGCATGGATTATTTTTCTTCTAAAAAAGTCCCTTTTTTAGCCAATTTAATGTGATTTTTAGACAGAGTTAAACCATTGTAAGTACCTTCCCAAATCTTTTTGTTTTCCTTGATGCAAACCTTGTGTATCTGTTAGTGAAAATGTTGTGTTTTGTAGGATTTTAGTAAGTCTCTTAATTTGGTTGTTAATGTTTATGAACTTCATCAGTTGTTTCATTGGCTGAGAAATTGAGCTCATTGTGACTAATTGTATTTGAAGGTACACATGGGGTAGGTCACACCATGACAAGCTCAGATACTCCACACTCTTATACGACTACATTGACTTGTACAGAGCCCAGCTGACCTCGTCTGTGCTGACAGTAGGTCTGCTCTTTGTGTGAACTTGAACCAAAGACTAGAGTGGGACTACTTATTTCCAAGTGTGCAAATGGTCCATGTGGCATTTATTTGCGCTCGTTTTATCTCCGTGTGGGATTGTCCTTCTCCTGAGAATTCATCCTGGTGAACGGCAGTTTCCTGCTGTTAGCACCGACCCTGAGGAGAAGATGCCTGGGCACTTCTCAGGTTGCAGTCTCCTGGCAGCGCTCTGCAGGGCTCAGTGCATTACTCCACTTGGTAGCTCTCACCCAGCTGGTAGAGGCCGTGCCCAGGACGCTGCAACGCGTTGGATGTGTTCTGTTGTTTATGTAAAGCATCAGGGACACTTCATGCTTTGTTACTGTCGAGCCGAAGACAGCACCTAAATGAAGAACTGAAAGCAGAACTGGGCTGTTGACAGAAAGCGAACCACCTAAAACCTTTTCTCTGTAGAACATGTCTAGGTTAACCTCTTGGGCCTTTTTGAATTCCTTATCTATCCTGTCCTACTAGCCACAGCCACTGAAAAAAATTAACCAATTTTCATCTGTGATACCAAAAGCCTTCACTGCCAGGCTCAGGTCATGACCATATTTGTTACTTTTGGGGAATTTTATACTATGTAGTCTGTAGGAAGAGGTTACACAGGACAAAAACCTGACTGGCCTAACTTTGCAGCATTTTTTTCTTTGAAGGCACCATTAGTTCAGGTTCTCTAATATAATACAGTTGGTCTAATTGGGGGCAGTTTGAGCTGCTTGCGAAGTTATTTCCTTACACGATGGTTTCATTGAGTGGGAACAATGAAACGGGGAACTGTGTGAATTCTGAGACAAGTCACTCAAAATTTGGGCAAAGATTGTGCAGGCTCAGCCCCACAGAAAGCAGGAAGTAGTTTTCTTAGCAAAGTGGAGAACTTCGTTGTTGTGAATTAAAATTCTCTTGCAAGTTCTCCGTGCTGGAAGTGCATTCACTAGGTCAGCTAATATTACTAGGATCGGGGAAGGAGAGAACAATCTCTGCTTTCCTCAAGAATGTGAAATTTGGCTGTGTAGAAAAGGAACTTTGTAAACAGCGCTGCCTGTTCACAATATGACTTGATATCCTTTGGAGCATGCAGTGGGCTTTGGTTGACTTTAGTGAATAACATTATGGGGTTTTGGGTGCTTTGATATTCATGTGATCATAAAGATGTATCACACAAGTGCAATTCACCCACAGAAAACAAAGCTCTGTGGCACTAGTCTGAAATGTCACAATGGGCTTAAGTACCACAAATTGATTACATTTCTCTGCTAAGATTTTCAGAATATGAACTTAGTGCATTATTACTGTAATTCAGAATTCCAGAAAAATATGTTTTATGCGTGATTTACCTGACCCATTTTTTGATATCCACTCTAGAGTGAGACAAATTGCACCCTATTTCAGTCATGACTGTAAAGAGAATTGCACTGGTAGTTCAAGTACTATGCTGAGCCCTGCCATTGTGGGAGGAATTACAGAAAACTTATATTTCATTTAAAAATGACAGTTGCATTAAATTCTCTATTGGATTTAAATCAGCAGTCGGTAAAATAAGTCACAGTCAATTTTTTCCTGCAGGCTGATTTTAAAAACAAAACAAAAACACTTATGCACTTAACATGTAAATACTTATTTTTATTGTCTAGATCACACAAGAAATTTCTGATAATACAAGGATATTCAGGCTTCTGGGATCGGACAGGTAAGAAATTAAGTAAACATGGCATGCTGAAATAAAAGAATAATATGTGTTCTCCTACCTTGTAAAAGTTCTTTTTCCTTGCTTCTTGCAAAGTCTTTTTTAGACATTCCTTTGTGTACACGTCTACATTCCAGTCCTTTGAGCTTACTACTCTTTCTTCAATAAGTAAAATGAAGTCTTCTAAAAGTGTCTGTGGGCTTCCAGAAGTACTCAGCCATTGAAGAAGCTCTTACTTGGCTCCAGTCACAATCTCCAGGAGCGTTTTCCTTTTCGCACTGTAATTCTTTTGTTTAATTTGGTGAAATCTTTACTTTCAGATGCTCTGCTGCAGTAGCTCATCAAGATCTGCTTCTGGAGACAAATGCAAAAAATACTTAAAAATTTAAATATCTCACTTTCACCTCCAGGAAGGAAATCTACCTGGTTTTCTCCCAGCATGACAGCTCAGGTTTTGTAAGAGCTCTTGGTAACTCCTAGTGTAGCTGTTCTTTGGTGTCTGCGTTGCAGGACACTAACACCATGTCTGTGTGACCCATCAGATAGCAGCTTGCTGAGTCAGTAACTGCTGTTTTAGGAGTGTCACCGACTTCCTCAACTTTCTCTGTCCTGTTTTCGAACTTTGTACTTCTGTAACAGCCATGGAAACAGCAGCTGTTTTGTCTTGTGGAGAGTGCATGCTGATGTGACAGTTTCACCAGTAATGAATTCACAAGTAAAAAGGGAGGCTTTAATTTTTCTTTTGAGAATTGTCTCTGTCTTACGCTGCTCACAGTAAACTCAAGTGTCATCTTAGAATGACATTGCAAAAAATCACTTTGTGAAAATAATGTCCTCTTCCCCAAATATGGTCCCATCTATTTCTGGCTTGCTCTAATAGTCTGTCAAGTCTGAGACAATGTTTAAAAGAGTTTGCACTGCAATAAACATGAATTCCAATTTCTTCATATACCCTTTTCCTTACAGCTCTCTTCTGTTTTGTGCTTGAGCTGTGAAACCTTTTTCCAGTAACGTGTCATTTTCTAGGCAGTTTGTAGGAACTGGGGTTCTGAGAAGCCAAAAACCTGATGTCAGTCTAACAAAAGTTTGCATGTTGCTTTCTTCTGCTGAACAGGGAATTGCCTCATGGCATGAGGTGTCATTCCCTTTGTGGAGCACATTGAGCAGAGGGGAGATTTTCTGAGCTATAGTTTTGAAGCAAGCAAACTTTCCTGTGTGAATACACAGTAGATGGATCTGAGTTTCCCCCAGTCTTCCTTCATTTCAGGGTGTTTGTGGAGGAGAATTCAGTGATGAACTTTGTTAGCAATTTCAGCAATTCTTGCCTGATGAAAAAACCTCTAGCAGTTTGTGAAACAAAATTGTGACTGCTACTTTCTCTTCTTTGAAGAGAAAGGTCTGATCTAGGACATCCATTATAGTCTTTGCAGTTGTAGTGTAGGTCCAGCTAACCTAGTCTCCTGCCTACAGTGATGGCCGAAAGTGGAAAGCCTCAAGGAAAAGAATAAGAGAGATCTTTTCCTTGAGGCTTCTCAAGGCCTGCAAATTTTGTCTCTGGGACTTTCAGAGATGGAGGAAGTTTCATAGGCTCAGGTAAAGACTAGAAATGCTGTCAGAAGTGTCATCTTCAGTCATCTGCCATTCCAGTGGCAAAGGGCAGGCTAACAACCTTCAGAACTGGAGCCTGATTAATGGGTTCGCTTTGCAAAGCTCCAGGAAAGCACAAACCTGCGAAGTAGGGGAGTGATGGACCCTCTTCAGAAGCCCTCACTGAAAAGATGAGAAGCCACAGGGATATGTTCCAGCAAGGGAAATTCCAGCTGGATAAAAGAGGGGAAAACATTGTGGTGGTTCAGCAGTGCAGCAGGAGCCCAGAGAGGCTGTGGGAGATTTTTGAAGACCTTGCTCTGTACAAGACCGTGAGCTTGGTTTGAGTGGCTTTTGGACTAGAGGCATCCAGGGAGAGGGAAACGACAACCAGTCAGCTGGATCTTGGTAAAGAATGTTTACAGTTACATCCAGGGTTGTTTTAAAATGAAGGCTTACTTGACATTATGGCTTTTTTAATTGTCGTTTTAGGGTCGTGGTGCTGGAGAGCAGGCCGACGGACAACCCGACAGCCAACAGCAATTTGTACATCCTGGCAGGGCACGAGAACAGTTACTGAGAACAGCACGTGGCAGGCAGCTCACTGTGACAAGAGAACACTCCTGCTGCAGCAGCACTCGGGACTGGCTGGAATTGCACAAAAGCTGCAGTAACCCCACTTCAGTTACTTTATAATTTATTGTGGCACGAGAGGAAGACGAGAATTGTTTGTGGTATGGACACAGAAGCATTATAATACCACAGAAGTGCTTAATTTACTGTTATGTAATCTTTGTACATATGCAGTATTTTTCAGTGAAACTTCTTGCTGAAGCCCTACACTGACTTTCTGTAGATAGAGGTCCTCCTGTTTAGTACAAGCGTCTTACCTGTACAGATGTAAAAGTCACTGAGGATGCAAAAATTAAATCGGGGTACTATTATAAGGACGTCTCATGTGTTTATTATAAAGTGGGATGCTAGCAACAAGTATAGTACATTTAGCAACACTATTGTATTTTATTATATGTAATTTACTAATACAAATAAATATTAACTTTTAGAAATTGTAACCAAGGCTGTAATCAGATTACAATCTTGTTTTAATTTCGATACAACACACTGGTGTTCATGTTTGCACAATATATTAAGATGTGATGTATTTAGTCACAAAGGTAAGCTGTGACTTTGTGGATATGACTCGGGCTTCAGAGTTCCTTTTTTTCGTTTACTTGGGTAGTTTTCTTTGTGAAACAAACCAGTTAAACACCTGTATTTTTATATTTAATTAAAACTTTCCTTATGATTACTTCTCTATGCTTGAAAACAATACCTTATGGATGGGTGTCAGTCCCAGACTAGTGGTACCTGGCTGTAATTCTGCAATAGGTGTTTGAATTATTAGTGTATACAATGATAAAAATTAGTATTACTGTTCATCTTGCTAAATAGTTTCATATCACGATGAAAAGGAGCAACATTCCACATTGTGGAAATGGCTCAAAGATGTTGCCATTTTGACTTTTTTTTGGCCTTATAACCATTTTCACACTTTTCTTGATTTTAGGATGTTAACACATGGCCAAAATAATTTAGTTACTACCTCATTCAAACAATACAATGGTTACTACGCATCACGGGAACTTAGTTTTGATCAGAAGTATTTTTGATTGCTATTTTCCAGTGGAGTGTGTATATGCCAAGTTTTAAGCAAAATGCACACATTTGAGTCCTTTTTTTTTGTATATGTTCTTTATATTTTATTGTGATAATATACACTAAAACCAAACTAAATTAAAAGTGATTTATGGCCTGCGTTATTGTTGTGATTGGTAATGCTTTGAAATATGTTCCCTAATGTATATAATGTAAAATAAATTTTTTTAACATGTTGTTGTACAATTAGATTATCACCTGCACTGATTTTCCACATAAGACTAAAATGGAACATTGAGTTTTGAATTCTGCTATTAAATGGTTGTGCCAAACACAGAAGTTGGGCATTTCTGAATGTATGAACAGTCAGATTGCTGGATTTCAACTCAGTTTTGGCTGGCACTGAAGGGTCAGCCCTTTTGGCCTTTAGGCAGTGGATATATGTATTTGAATTAGGTCTCTCCAAATTCCAGTTTGCTTGGTTTCTTCCCTCCATTGCCTGCTATTTCACCTCAACTGATTGCAAAGCTGATTTTATTTTTTTTCTTCCAGCAGGGTTTTTTTTCTGCCTATGGGCCTCAAGGTCGCTGCCTTTGCTGGCTCCATCTCAGCTGTTCCTCGTACTGAGACACAGCTCAGCCTGTGGGAGAGGAGGCAGTGCAAGTCCCACTGCTGAGAAGCCGAATTCTCAGAAAAGGCGAAAATTTCTGTGCGTTTCACAGCGCCTTGTGAAATCCCCAGGGGGGATTTCCATCCTGCCTCCTGTGGGTTGTTCCTCACTTCGACATGCAGAAAGTAGCTCAGCTTTAACAAAGCACAGTAGATCTAATGGTGCTGTAAACGTGCTTCCTCCTGTGAGGGTTCTGCAGCAGCTGGGGCCAAGTTTCTCAGGCCATTGCTGAATTATAGGCACCAGAAGGTAAGGGCTATAGGTTTTTATTCCAGTTGAGCACTTTTGGTACAAGCATGCATTCTGAGATGCAACTGGAAGAGCTAAAAATAAAGAGAACAGGGTAGTGACATGTGGGAAGAAGGAGAACATTGTGCTAGGACAGGCGTGTTCCCAATCTGTTGGTGTAGTCAGGACAGCTTTGCTGTTCCCATGCTGCTCTCCAGCCTTAGAGATAAGAAGTGAAGGGTTCCTGCTTTTTTGAGGAGTTGTACTGTTGCAGGATTTGGGGTTTGTGCCACAAAACTGCCTTTCCCCCTCTCAAGATGCTTGACCACTCTGCTGACAGCTGCCCTCAGCTGAGCCCAGGAGCCTGGGCATCTGGTAAATCAAAAGGTCTCCTTTGCTAGACCCGCAGTTACCTTGAAGTGGAGCTTTTCTTGAGCCATGCTCGGTGGGAGCTTAGACCACCCCCACTCTGGCCTACAGCTGGGATTGGTGTGTGGCCGACAGACGGGAGCACAGTTGGTGCCAGCAAATCCCATCACAAGCTCCATGAGGTTAGAGCAAGGCCTCTGCCTACAGTTGGTTCACACAACTCCTCTAACAGCCTATGTGACTTCCCTTTCTCTCCTCCCACCCCCTCTGTGCTGCCTGGGAGCAGGCAGAGTGTCTTGTGGTAAATGTGACAGCGTGATAGGGCACTTGCCAGCCTGGCAGCAAAGTCTGATTAGGGCAGGGGCTAAACTTGGGCCTCCATCCACACTAACCATTCTTACAGGGAACAAAGCAAGCACTGCAATGGTTTGTGTCCGTTGCAGAAGTACTACTGGAAGCTGGGGACACGGAATGAACACTGCTTTTACCTTTTCCTTGCCCATCTCTCCATATGGTGCTGCCTGCCTCTGGCAGAAACAGGATCTGGTGACATGAAAAAGAGGGAGTTCGGATTCAAATTCTGCATTCCACAGCCCTTGACTGAAACCAAGAGCTGTGCAAGGTGAAGCACATGTTGCTGGCTGCCTGTCCCTTGTAGCTTTGCCACTGGGAGCTTGTACTGGGGCTGGGGGAGCCCATCAATGCTGTGAGCACTTTTGGAGATGGATATGTCCCCCCCCAGGCAGGAGGCATTTCCAACAGGATGAGGTTCAACCAAGCCAAGGGCCGGGTCCTGCACTTTGGCCACAACAACCCCCTGCAGCGCTACAGGCTGGGCAC